TCTTCGACAATCACCACGATGTTGGGGTCTGCGCCGCGATGGTGTGCTTCGAAGCATGAACTCTGATGAAGGGCATCACCTCGTCCAATCGGCTGCAGAACCAAATCTTTGGGCGATTTTGAAGGGTGAAGCCAAGGATGAAGATGTGGAAGGAGGCGAACTGAAAGGCTTTCTTCTGGTGTACGTCGATGACCTGATGGTGGTTGGAGACGGCGGCACCATTGAAATGATCACCAAAATGCTTCAGGCGGAATGGGAGACATCCCCTCCTGAAGAAGTCAACACGAAAGACAAGGTGAAGTTCTTGGGCATGGAGCTGAAGAAAGGTCCATGGGGCGAGTTCGTCGCCTCCCAAGAAGACTACATAAAGGACAAAGAAGGAATTGAGGAGAAGAAAGGAGTGAAGGTTCCAATGGGGAAAGATCTATGTCCCTTGCCAGAAGAACCCACGCCTGACCTCGTCACCCAGGCGCAAAAGCTTGTGGGAGAATTGATGTGGCTATCAACGAGAACGAGGCCGGATATCGCCTTCGCCACAAGTCGCTGTGCTCAAGAAATCCTATCACATCCTATGTGGGTGGTGGAACAAGCTACACAAGTTTGGAGGTACTTGAAGAATACCCCAAATGAAGGATTGAAGTTCGCAAAAGAGAAGGGAGAAGGTTGGGATGGAGGACCAAGAGCACTTGAAGTCTTCACAGATTCCAGCTTCGCTGCCAATCCTGAGACACAAGCTTCCCACGGATCCGTGATGGTCACTTGGAATGGAGCTTTGATGTTTTGGAAAAGTGGGAGGCAAGCCTTTCCCGCTCTCCACGGCGGAGTCAGAGTTGTTGGAGGCCATTGAAGGCCTACAGACTGGTGATGCTGTTGATTGCCTCATCAACGAGCATGAAGAGCTCTACAAGAAAACCCTTTTCGTTGACAACCTCGCTGCCACCGGATTCGAACACGCCATCTTCGACTTCGAGCTCAACATGTTCGCTGGAGGATCACAAATTTGGATTGGCGAGTCCGCCATTTGCCGGGTGCAGTGATGATTACTGATCTTGGCACCAAGGCCCTCACGATCCAACGAACAAAAGAACTTAAAGAATTGATGATGATGTTGCTGCAAGAAGAGAAGGAAAAGGAGGACGGCCCAGGGGCGATAAGCTCAAAGGAGGAAAAGAAGGATGAAGAAGAAGAAAAGAATAAGGAGGATGGCCCAGAGGCGGTAAGATCAAAAGAAGAAAAGGAAGAAGAACATGGAAAAGAAAGGGCGATCGTTCAATTCGCTGATGGAAAGACCCTTCAGTTGGCTGTTCTCATGGCCATTTTGGCCAAGGCCAAGGCTCAGGGCGAAAGAGATGACGGCCCACTTCAGTTCTTCATGATCATGTACACGTTGTTGGTCATCTTCGTCACGCTCATCCTTCGAAGGTTGTGGGCCTGGCTGACTGCACCTGCCATTCCAGGGGGTGATCAAGCTGGTGGTCCTCAAACGCCTGTGCCTTGCCCTCGAGCACCAAGTCCACCTCGCTTCTACAGCTCGGACTCATCGTCGCAAGGAAGCTCTCTCACGGTCGACAACCAAGGCCGTGAAGTGAATCGGCATAGCGCCCGGTCGAAAGGAAAGACCAAAGGACAAGGAAAGGGGAAGGGGAAGTCATCGACTCCATCATCTCCTGCACCGGAAGACCATGCATATGGCCCGGCGCCTCCCATGACAAGGGATCAACAGATCCAGTAGGCCAACACCAACAGGGAATGGCTGATGAGGTGGGCATCTTCGCTCACAGCTGAGGAGCGGCAGCAAGCTGGTCTGACAGACCTACAGGAGCCGCTCATCACCTCGAGCTCTTCGGCACCCTCGGAAGTGACCCTCACTGGGATTCAAGAAGAACCCGAACAAGAAGTACCTGCGGAGCATGAAGTCCCGCCGGTCGAGCCAACAGAAGAGGAAACTCTTCACTATCCCACCGAACGGGATTACAGAGACATCCAGGCCGATGAAGCTTGGGAGCCAACGGGGTCGGCAAGCACGGATCGACCTTCGACAGCTGCACCAAAGGCTTTTCCAAGGCCGTTTCAAGCGGCAGGCGATCCAGCTGGAAACGAAGGCCAAGATCTGCATGGTTTGGGGGTCTACATCACAAAGTATGGCCAGAAGTACCATGTGTTCATGGACTGCCAGACCTTGACATCCTCGGTTTTGAGAGCCTCACCGCCGTGTCACCAATGCGGTGTCGCGGTCGACATGAACCGCATTCGCCGCGGACAGCCGATCTGGTGCCGAGGTTGGGGTGAGATCTATCACCGTGGTGACAACCAACTTCCTGGATGTGCATCCATCCAGGACAAGAAATACAGCATCTGTGTCCTATGCCTACAGGCGATGAGGGACAGAGGCTTAGGCCTATGAAGAAGGGTGAAAGAAAAGAAAAGGAAGGCCATTTTGGCCGGCTGACATGGAATGATGGGCATTGCATGTTGAGCTTTTTCCACAGGGCCTGGTTGGCCCACTACGGATGATAACCGGAACGGCTGATGACTGGTTTGTGAGAAGGGGAAGAGCCTTTTTGCATTTGCATGTTTTGGCCGCACCAAGTTTTGATGTTCAACATTGCTGGAAGGCCATGTTGGCCCATTTACAATGGTTGGGTGCATTGTTGAAAGGCCATCAAGGGCCATAGCTGGCTGTGCTGGACGGGTTGAAAACAAGAAGTTTTGGCATCGAACACCTGCCAACAAGAAAGGGCTTGAGCTGAAGAAGATTCAGCGGCTCCTCACTCGCGCGGGAAGAATGACAAAAAATGTCAGGAGTACCCGAGTGTTGGATGCTGGCTGATAGCTTTTTGCAAAGCTAGGGGGAGTGCTGATGTGAGAACCTCCTAGCATGTTTGCTTTTGAACTTGAAGGGTTCGCTGCAGCCCTTTTCTCATGGAGTTGACGCACTCCATCAAACCCGTGACACCGGGTCAAGAGAAGCTGAAAAAAGAGCCAGCTGTTTTTGAAGGGTTTGGAAAGAAGTGTTTGGGTAACCCTGGGCACTGGACCATGCCTGACCAACAGATTCATTTGATTTTTCTTGGACCGTTTTGCATCCTTTTTTCGCCCCAAGCATCGCCAAAACTCTTCCATATCAGTAAGGCAGGTCCTTTGAATATGTTTTGAAGGCTTGTTGGTGCTGTCGAGTGTTGACAGGATGCTATGGGAACTCAAGCAGAACCAATATTGTTTGAATTATATAGGGTACCGGGCGAATTCCAAATGATTCGACTGACTTGTCGACCGGCTCTGGAGTGCTTGAGATGATTCGACACAGGAAGTTAAGCAGTGAGACCTGGTCAATCCTGGTCACCATCATTGGACCAACGCAAAATGAGCGCAAGGTTCTTACTGGAGAAACCCATGCCTGAAGATTGACAGGCAGCAAATCAACAATTCTAAACTTTGCCAATTCAGGTACAGATCAGTCAGATCAGTACGATTCCTGCAGTTACATGCAGTTGCCAGATTGTGCCCTGAATTATGGCACATTTGGGTCCAGCCCCATGGTTCGGTTTACCTGCAGTTTTGGACCGTCGAACCATTGACCTGTGGAATGCAGTTCCCGCACCCTTGCGATTCCTGGACCCTGGCAGATTTCCAGACACGATAGACCTTATAATCGCATCGCAGGAACAAAGGCAAATGTGTGTTCGGGCAGGCCAAACCATCTTTCTTGGGAAAGCCCTGAGCCCCGTGTAAAATCCTTCCCCAGCTGGTTCCTTTGGCCGCAGGTGGCAGGTGGCCAAGACGGAGGACCGCGGCGTTTCATGGCCACGAGCCTCCAAGAGGGTTCCTGTTCGTTCCTGTGAAGGTTGAAGGTGGTTTCGGAGGATCTATTGATGCTCTCATGTTGATTTGGGACCGAAACTTTCTGGAACTTTGTTTTTTCTCGGGTAGTTGTATCATAACCATTGCGTTGCACCCTGTAGTTTTTTGTTGGCAGTTTCCCTACAATTTGGGGCAACACGTGTGACGTAGAGGAAGTGCTCATGTTGCAAACCTCTCAGTGGATTGCCACGTCCTACTTGGTGATTCGGTAAGAAGGTGAGGTATGTACCGTATACATCGGTACTGTATACTGTATTACTCTTGTGTAATTGGTGCCTCACCATCGTTGCACAAGGACTCTCCCGTGCCCGTCGTCAGACTCTCAGAACCTCAGGGACCCTCAGGGAGATTCGTGGGAGGATGTGGGAGGCACTCAGAAGGCAGTCGGTGAAAAGGGAGCCCAGGAATCCAGCAGAGTGCGAACGATGTGGGACTCGAGTAGAGGACGACTGAGTGTTCCACTACTTTCTGAAAACTGTGCCCCGTTTGGATCTTCATAGAATGTGTGGGTGTGTGCAGTGTGTGCACGTGCATCTTTGTGTTTGTGTAGGTGTTTCAGTTTGAGTGTGGAGGGTTGTGTTGTGTTTGGTTGCTCATTGTGGCTTCTCATGATGGCCCTTGGTGTGTGGATTACATCACCATCAAGAATCAAGTCCATACCAGTACAACATGAACATGTGGTCTATGAGTCTATGACGAGCTGAGAGATGGATGGCACACCAATTTAAGATGGGGTTGCACACAACGCGCCGCTCATGAAAGTAAGCTGTTTCCGCAAACATCCTTATTCGATGGTGTTTTGGAATAAGACATGAATGTATCATGCATCAGTGTGGAATAAGACATGTATGAGAGACAAGGGGCCCTCTATGCACTTTGCAGCTGTGCATCGTCAAGCACTGCAAAGATTTGCAGCACTTCACTTGGTGATCTTCCATGCCTTGGAATAGCTTGGAAGGAATGATAAAACCATGGTTTTCATCTATCTATGGCGTGCCCACGAGCCGGAGAAATGGACGCTTGGGACTGCTTGCTATTTTTTTAGCTGTAGTGATTGCCCCTAGGCTACTGTCTACAGGTAATAATGCTACAGTAGCTTATCAGAACAGATTTTGGAAGCTTATCAGAACCCGAACCCTCTGGGTTCTCTTTCAGAGCTGGTGAGGATCTTCTTTTGTTTCACAGACCGCCCAGCGAGCTTGTGCGAAGCTCTGCGCGAGCTGTGCGCTTTCGCCTTTGCGCCTAAGCAGCCATGTCAGTGGGGCTGCTTCTCACGGCCAACAGCGTTCCATGCGGTGCGTGCGGCGGCCAAGAAGGAGAAGCATGAGAAGCCGAGAAACCCAGAGAGCTTTCTGAAACAGAGCTAGTGAGCGCCCATGGTGCCGAGTTTTTTTTTTGTTGGGGGGCCCATGATGCCCATGATGTTCACAGCGCCCATGGGGTGGGCTGTCTCAAAAAATGTTACCTGTGTATCAAGGGAATCTGCCAGGATTTGCTAGGAATTTTCACATTCCAGGTATCGAAAGATCCAGCTGGAGTTACAGTGATGGGTTACTCAGGTACCTCAGCTCCAAATCGATGGTGGACAAGGGACCCTGGACTAAATCCATTGGTGAAGGGTTTAATCAAGAAACTACTCTTAGTCATTCTATCAAAGACCCTTCATCCAGGTACTTGTACACAGAAGCCTTTTCCCCTTTCTGGCCCTGGCCCTGCGGATATCAGGAATTGAACGCAGTTATTGTTTATATTAGTTAGCAGATGTTTGCAGTCTTGGAACTTGGAACCATGCGAGTTAGTTGCCTGTTCAAGTTGTTTCTTCTTGCTTGAAGCAACTGCGTACCCCACGCTCACGCTGGTCACCCCGTGAAAGGAGGAACGCCGGGACCTCGCCCCGCGGGTCGCGCCAGGCATGCGAAGCGTGAGTATCGTGGCATGGACATTCGACCACGCCAGATTCTGGCCACCTCCTTCCACGCGCCGTGGCCGTCGAGGGGAGCTTGGAGAGGGGAGGAATGGAAGGGTGAGGAACCCGGAAGTGTTTTGGGGTCCATCTTTTGGGACACAATGTGGTGTTGCTCGTGTGGGTTTGCGGCACTGCGGGTTCAGAAAGCAAACAGCTTTGTTTAGCGATGGGGAATATCCAAGACCAATGACCGCCAATGACCTCTACTTTTGTGTTCGTCAAACGTTCATCCACCTCGTGTGACCTCGGGCGACTCGACCTCGGGTAATCTGGGAACCCACAGGTTCTCCTTTAGAGCAAAGCTACAAAGTCAATGGGTTTGAGTCTTCCAAGCTGGTCTTTGGGTCTTCCTAGCTGGAGCTAATCTCTTTTTTGGAACATGCTGGTGGGGTTCACTGTGGATTCTTTCTATAAATTGTGTTTTGAGACTATTACCATGATTCAGTTGATGAGCAGCAGCCCACCTGGACCTCGCATAGGGCACAGCAGCTGTATTTTGAGGGGCCTTTCAAACGGGCCTTGTTTTGAATGTATATATATATGTATATGTTTGGGTCAAAATACAAGTTGTGCTTATTTCTTTGGCAGGTGTCACGTGATACTGTACCACTACACACCACCTTTCAGAATTTGACTCCACAAGCTGGTTGCTCGCTGGTGATGTGCTCGCATTACAGAGGAGTTTTGCCTACCAAAGATCCTAGGAATCTATGTTTTATCATGTTTCATGGTGGGCATGGCCCTTTTGACGGGTTCCGCACAGTTCTTTTTCCGTTGAAGGAACTCGGGTCGTGCAATTTCTGGAGAATCGCAGCCAGTGAGAATTTGGTTGCTTGTTTTGAGTCGATTGATCAGACTCGGCGAACACTTGTTTAATGTCCAATTAATGAGGTGGGATGAAGATGTGTTTCTTGCGCCTGTGTGGATGAGTACCAGAATCCCAGCTTTCTTTGCCGGCTGCATGGCTGAGGACCACACCGTTCAGCACCTGCATTTGACCTCTACCTTCAAGAAGCTTTGGATTACTTGAGGCTTAGGACCGTGGGAATCCACTTGCCTCCGGGAACCCAGCATGGTGATGCTTGGGATTCGGATGGCCAACTACTTTTTGAGGAGGTAGTTGGAGACAGCAGGCATCAGCATGTACACCAACTTGGAAACATTTTTTTTTTGACCTATCCAATATCCATGTTTCTTCACACCTTTTCACAATCCCATCATATCCATCCCAATATCATGTTGCCCCAGGTCCGACCGGTGTTTCTGGGCTCTAAGGAAGACGAAGCGCCACTTAAAGGTCTTGCAAGCGGACATGGCGACGCCCCTACGGAGTGCCTGGGATGCTGATCTTCGGATCCTGCGTCCTCAGGTTAGCTTAGAAGATCTGAGATTGATGGATTGATGGATGTAGAAGGACTATACTGGTGCCATCGCTATTAGGTCGGAGGCCGCTCTCTAGTACCGGCACCCGTGTTCGTTGCTTTCGCCTCTCTGGGTCGTTTCCATCCGTTCCGCCCAGGAATCCGATCCGAGCCGCAGGTGTCCAGCGACACGGTCGCTGGGCCGCGCGGTTTGGGTGGCCGAAAGCCGCCGAAGAGGGACCAGTGCGAGGCTGGCATGGGTTTTCCCTAATTCATTTCGAGCTCAGCTTCCTCACTCATCAAATTCGTGGAAAGATGTTGAAGACGTGCAAACATGCACACACATGAAATTCTAATTATACCTGTATACAGAATGCTTTTGGAGGGAAGTTGAGGGTGCCAACTTGAACATTGACGCCACCGAAACCGCCGAAACTCCTTCGGACGTACAAAGTGGCACAAACGAATGTGCCCCCTGCATTTTGCTGTTTTCAAGGCAAGGCCTTGTCCGGTTTGGATGACCATGATGGGTCCTTGGTGGTGCGGTGTATCCCACAACTCCCTAAAAATATGCAACTGCATGGAGTTTACGATCATGAATCATGACCGTTGATGCACGAACAATAACATGATCAATCCATCATTCAGGATTTGCTATTTGCCAAGTCTCAGGTTCCCTCCGTGGAACTGGCGGGTCCGCTCCAGAAGAGTGCCTACAAGCCAGTGTGGGATCTACCCGAAGAGCCAATGGAGTTCTCGAAGATGGAGCTCCTTGGATGATGGAGCTGCACTAGTTGGAGCCCCACCTAGTTGGTCGGCAACTACTGGCTCTAAAAGCGAATACATACCCAGGGCTAGAGTGATTCATTTGGGTTCATCTATTTCTAGAGTAGGACATGAAGCAGGCACTGTATTATTGTAAGACAATGACTAATGAAGTCCATGATCTCTTGTCCCCATGATTAATCACAGAGCGGGTCACGTTTTTCTCCGTAGCATTGGGGCTTAAGAAGGGAATTTGGATGGGAGGGGGGGACGCCCCCCTCCCAGTCTGCGACCGCTGTCGCCACTTCGTGGTTCGTGAACCCGGCCTTTCGACCTGCGGTCCTTGCAGGAAAGGGTACCAGCTGCTCGTGTCCTTGAGGTCGGTCGTTAGCCCGGAGAACGACGAGGCAGCGGTTGTGTACCTGGAAGGCTGCTTCGGCCTTCTGGAGGATTGGATCGGGGAAGTCAAGAACCCCGAGAAGAAAGAAGACAAGAAACCCCGAGGAAGATCCAAAGAGAAAAAGAGGAGACGAAGTGAGGACAAGCCCCTGAAGAGACAGCCCACCGATAGCCCAAAGAAAAGGAAAGACTCAGACCATCAAGCCAGCCCCGCATCCGCTTCAAAGACAGCCCAGTCAGCCCCAGATCCAGCACCAGAGCCTGCCCGTTCCTCAGCCAGCCGCCCATCAGTGTCCAGCAGGGTGCTACCTCCGCCCAAGGCACCACCAGTTCCAGTACCAGGGCCAACCCACGGGAGTGTTGCACTGGTTGAGAACTCCCAGACAAGAGCACCAAGACCCAGCAAGAGAGAGCAGGAGGAGGCCGTGCACAGTGATCCCCAAGCGGTGAACCTGGCCCCAAAGGTCAAGCCAGCTCCATCTAGCAAGCAACCAGCTGAGCGGACAGGAGAAGCCAGTGCAGCCGACCCGGAGAACAAGGAAGCGGCAAAGAAGGCTAAGAGAAGGGAGTCAGGCAGCAGGACTCCCAGCCGCTCAGGAAGGAAAAGGTCAAGAAGGCGAAGAAGAAGCCGGGAGGGAGAAAAAGAGAGGCGTCGGAGGAGGAAAGGACTTCGAGCCGCTCTTCATCAGTGTCCGGTTCAAGAGTGAGGGAGAACAAAAAGAAGGAGAGGAAGACCAGACCGGCAACCCCTCCTCGGCCCAGAAGTCCCCACACACCACCGGGACCACCCCCTCCTCCAGCACCGCCGCCATTGCCACCACCGGTCCAGCAGAGGGGGTGGGTCGGAGCAATACCCTGGTCCAACCACCCAAGGTGGTACGTGGGAAAAAATAAAGGAATAACTCGCCGTGCCAAGCAGGAACTCCACGATCGACAATGGCGCCGAAGGTGAGAGCCAGGCCGGCGATCAGATCTCCTGCCATCCGAAGAAAACCTGCCGCGAAGACCGACGACCTGCCCGTGAGTGAGTTCCACTACTTGCGGGAGTTGGCTGCAGCACAGCTCCGGTGCCTGGGCCTGATCGAGCTAGGAGACGCCAGGTACTATGAGGGGCATGTGAAGGTCGCAGGGCGAATCGTTGGCCTGGGACAGGATGAGGACTTCCTGGAGTTTCGTGTGTCAGGCACGCAAACGGAAGGACTCTTGGACATGTTTGGAGATCCGGCCAAGCGTACTATGCAGCTCCACATCTGCCAGAGCGATTGCTCGTGGCAACCAACGGGTGAAGACATCCTTCATGCATCGGGCTATTGGATTGTTGGAGACGACAAGTTGCCATGGCATACATTGCTGGAGGAGAAGCCGTTGAAGCCAGAGGAGCATGATGAGTTGTCGCGATTGAGGGCGCTGCATGAGGAGAGGCGTGAGAAAGTTGCAGGGGAGAAAGGTTCTCCCAGTGAGGCAGGTGAAGAGAAGGCCAAGGACAAGAAGAAGAAAAAGAAGCACAAGGAAAAGAAGGAACGATCTCGGAAGCGAGAAGCCAAGGAGGAGGAAGGCAATGCAGTGCTTGAGCGAGGGCAGAAGTCGCTGTCAGCATAATTGTATGAAGGGACTTGCCTGGACCCCATTGCCGAGGCCCGCAGTAGGCTGTTGAAGAAGGCGAGACGCTGTGGAGCAAAGGGATCCAGGAAGAGGAAGCATTCATCCAGCGAGGGCACCGATAGTTCGAGCTCTTCAAGCGAGTCGGAGGCTGAGGAGTTTGGAGAAGGGCTCTTTGAGGAGCGCAAGCGAGCTCTTCGGTTGACACAGCGATATCCAGGGAGTTTAGCAGCGCAAACGGTGGCCAACATGAAAGAATCCTTGCTCACCCAGTCCGGTAGCCTGTATTCACAGGATCGGAAGAGCCTACCACCGATCTTCTCGCAATATTATAGACTGGAGATGCAGCCGCTTTGTTCTCCATCGATGAGCCAGGAGCTCCTCACGTTGTCGCAGGGGGCCGACCTGCTCCTTCGTGGTCACCCGGCTCGGGCTTTGGATTTGTTGGCCCAGAGAGTTAAGGCTCTCGATCAACAGATTCGAGGCGGACACTGGACGGTTGCAAGACAGTTAGAACTAGTCAGTGCTGATTCGGCTGGTTTAAGCAAAGGCCCGGAAGGGCAAGAGGCGGCAAAGCTGGCAAGAGAAGAACTTCGAGATCGACTGGCTTCTCAAAGACCATATGGGTCAGGCAGTGGGTCAGGCGGCCGCGAGAAGGGAGAAGGAGCTGGGAAAGGCAAGGATCGTTATCCCTCCGGAGGAGAGAAAGGAAAGGGCGAGAAAGGCAAGAGAGAGAAGGGGAAGGGCAAAAGAAAGAATGAGTAGCAAAAGCCGAAAGAGGGACTCCAAAGGAGGGTTGAGAGACGATCCAAGTGAGGGTGCAAAAAAGTCTGGAGAGGAGGCAGCATTGAGCTGATACATTGGGCGCAAGTGAGGATGGTGCGATAGAGAGGCTGTTGGATGAGAGTGCGACGATGGGCTATCAAATGAGGGCTGAGCGTGACAAGTTGCGGAGAGGAGATTTTGAAGGGAGTGTGGACTCCCAGTGTCGTGAGGCATTGAGAGGGCGTGCCGAGGACATTGGTGAGTCTGCAGTTGAAGTTGTAAGGGAGCAGGACTCCCAACACTCTGGACGTTGTGGAGAGATGTCTGGGCGTGTTGAAGGAGGAGCTGCTCCAATGGCTGATACCCCCCCCGCCGGTGAGCGGGTTGAGACGGACGTTGTTGGAAGCAAGCAGGCGGCAAGCATTTGAGAAGTGTCGTCACTACCTTGCCACGACATGTCAAAAAAAGGAGTTGCGTTTTGAGGAGCTTGGGGAGGTGCTTCTAGAGGCGTTGAAGGTTCAGGAGCAAACGTATGCGCGTTGCAGCGAGACCAAAGGGGACTTGTTCCCCTTGCCCCTACCTTCAACTCTGGAGACCTCGGGTTCCCCATTGATTTGTGCAGATGCATTGGTGCAAGCGTTGAATTCGTTGTACGGGACCAAGACTATCAAGAGGAACAGAGAGGATAGCACTAGATTGAAATTGGTTGAAAGGTTGAAGAAGGTGGTTGACGAGGCGGAGCTAGGAGGTCGTGAGGTGCCTGATATTGGATTTGGGGACTTCTTCAAAAGCCGCTCAGTAGACTACTCCGGAGAGATTGTTCAAGTCGCCCGTCGCTTCGATTGGAGGATGATTGAAGCCGCATATCCGGAGGCGGTAGGCAGTCTTTGTCTTGAGGAATTCTGCGAGGGGGGGAACGTTGGCTTATGTCCAGCATTTCGAAGATTTCCTTTTGCCGCCCCAGGATCAGCACTTGGGAAAGACGCCAAGCATTATGGTCGAGGCCTGCCACTGGGCCGAAGTTTGCACGGGACTGTTGAGGAGGGGTGTGTGTCGACTCATGCATGTCAATGAACTGCACCATGTTGGTGATCGTCCTTTGATGAACGGACTGTTTGCTGTTAGCAAACAGGAGCAGGCCATTGATTCGTTGGGAAATGAGTTTGAAGTGTGTAGACTAATCATGAACCTAGTACCTACCAACGGTTGCTGCCGAAGCCTAGTGGGGGACACCTCTACGCTACCAAGTGTGGTAGGAATGAGCTCCGTTGTACTTGACGACAATCAGTTGTTGGTGACCTCTTCTGAAGACATACGTTGCTTCTTTTACCTTTTCCGGACTCCGGCCAGCTGGTGGAAATACATGGGGTTTGGACGGGAGGTCCCCGCAGAGGCTCTCCCAAAGGGCTATGAAGGAGCAGGGTGGCATTTGGTGACGCAGGTGTTGCCCATGGGGTTCATAAACTCTGTCGCTATAGCTCAACACGTACATAGGAGGGTGATCAACCAGGCTCTGAAAGGCGATGCAAAGTTGGCGTCCGGACATCAGGAGATCAGGCGAGATCGGCCACCCAGCTGTGCGCCACACCTCTTTAGGGTCTACCTTGACAACTATGATGAGTTAAAAAAGGTGGATAGGACTCTGGCCGGAATACTTTCAGGCACTCCCTCAGCATGGACGTTGGCAGTCAGGCAAACTTATGAGACGCTTGGACTTCCACGGCACCCAAGGAAAGCAGTGACGCAGGCGGTCAAGGCAGAGGTACAGGGGGGCTTGGGTCGATGGCGAGCTGGGCAGAGCCAGCCCTAAGCCCGAAAAGGTGATGAGGTATGTGAGACTGGCTTGTGAGGCCGTGGTCCAAGGAAAGGCTTCCCAACGAGAGCTCCAGGTGATTGGAGGAGGCTTTGTGTACATTGCTATGTTTAGGCGCCCTCTGCTGTCGGGGCTGAATGCCATTTGGAAGCGTGTGGTTGAGTTGGAGGAGCTTAAGCCCACTCAACGGGCGAGCCTAGGGCCGGAGGTAGAGCATGAGATCTTGCGTTTTGTTGCTTTGACTCCCTTGGCGTACATGGACTTTCGCACCCCGATCTCGGAGAAGGTGACCGCGAGTGATGCCTCCACTACAGGGGGAGGCTTGTGTGTGTCGCGAAGTGTCAGTCCCTATGGAGTTGCAGCAAGCATGGCAAGTTGTAGGGGAGATGTGATCTCCCAGGACGAGGTGGGCGCCATCTTGGTTGTATCCCTCTTTGATGGGATTGGAGCTCTTCGAATCGCCGTTGACTCGCTTCAGGTGCCGGTTGCTGGATATGTTGCTGTGGAAATTTGCCCCGAAGCCCGACGGGTAGTCGAGAGTTGGTTCCCGGAGGTTGTGGCACTTGAAGACGTAAAGAGCATTGATGAACACGAGGTCAGTAGTTGGTGTCTGAGATTCCCAAGTGTATGCGCGGTCCTCCTCGGCGCTGGACCCCCATGTCAAGGAGTGTCAGGGCTAAACTCGGATCGAAGGGGTGCATTGCGTGACGTGCGATCCTGCCTATTCGCTCATGTCCCACGAATTGAGGGCCTTCTGAAAAGGTTCTTCACATGGTGTCCAGTTTTCACTCTCATCGAGAATGTAGCCTCCATGGATGCCGAGGATTGCAAGGTGATGTCCCAGGCTTATGACATGGCCCCGTGGCTTGTAGACTCCTCCGAGTTGTCATTGTGTCGGCGTCCCCGGTTGTACTGGTTCAACTGGGAGCCCAGGACTCTCAAAGGAGCCTGCATCTGTCGTGGCGATCCTCATCGGTTGCCTTTGGCGGGAACTTTGCGGCTTGAAGCGGTGGTTGATGAGCGTGACTTCTTGGAGCCAGGCTGGAAACTTACAGTTAAAGGGGGGGTTTCCTACCTTCACCACCTCAAGGCCGGCTACCAAGCCAGGCCGGAAACCCGCGGGGCTAGCGTTGTGTCCTCCCGAGGCAGTAGCACGATGGCGTGCCGACCAACATCGGTTTCCGCCATACCAATACCGATGGGAGAATTCCGTTGTCAACTCCCAAGGCGTGGTGCGTGTTCCTTCCATAGTTGAGCGAGAGGCGATTCTGGGTTTTCCTGTCCAGTACACGGCCAAGTGCCTTCCCAAGGCCGAAGCGGGGACAACCCGGGGCCATGATTGTCGTTTGACCTTGTTAGGCAACAGTTGGTCGGTCCCTGTCGTAGCGTGCCTTTTGCATTGCCTGTTTGCCACTCTGGGCCTCAATGAGGAAAAGAGCGTTCAGGAGATTGTCGACAACTTGACCCCCGGAAAATGTCCCAACATGGCTGGTTTGTTGATGTGTCCGCCCTTGCGACACACTACTGCCCCCGGACAAGAGACCCATGGGCTGGTGCGGAAGCTCCTGGGACAGATCTCTGTTAAAGGGGAAGACATCCTGTTGCAGTTATCCACAGACATTCCCGCTCGGTATCATGGCCTACGGGCGTCCATCCCCGGAAAGCTTTGGCGGTGGCGTGATGTTGTTGGCTGGAGCTGGACAGGTGAAAAGGAACACATCAATGCCCTGGAACTCCGAGCAGTAAAGACCTCGATGGTGTGGCGGATCAAGGAACTTCAGGAGCCTGGAAGCAAGTGCTTGCATCTCGTCGACTCGCTGGTCGTGTTGCATGCGTTGTCACGTGGAAGGTCGAGTAGTCGGAAACTTCGAAGGACTCTTGCCAAAATTAGTGCGTTGTTGTTGGCTAGCGGGCTCCATGTAGCCTGGGGCTACATTGATACAAAGCAAAACCCGGCGGACCGACCGTCCCGCCGGCCGGTACGGAAGGGATGGCTAAAAGCACGAAGAAGATAGTTGAAGGCCGCAGCAAACAACAACGACAAAAAGTGCGCAAGAGTTTAGGAAAGTTGAAAGACCTCACAGTACAGCCACGTACCCGACATCGATATGACCACGCTTTGCGTCAGTTCCTTGATTGGTTGACAAGGGAGGGCCTTCGGCTTCCCACCCAAGCCTCCCAGATGGATAACGTTGTGTCAGACTACCTCGAGTTCCTCTGGGCATCAGGCGAAGGAAAGTCGGTGGCAAACAATGCGCTTGCCGCCTTTCAGGACTATGAGCCCAGCCTAAAGAAGAAGTTGCCCGGCAGCTGGAGGTTGATGAAAGCTTGGAACTCTGCCGAAATTCCAAACCGGGCACCCCCGTTAACGTTGACCTGCTGAATGCTTTGTGTGGATGGAGCGTGATGCAAGACTGCCCGGAGTTTGGCTTGTCCCTGCGTGTCGCCTTTTTTGGACTTCTGCGCACAGGCGAACTTTTAAGTTTACGCGCCAAAGATATCTACCTGAACACGCCGAAGGGACCGGCGGTCATTTCCCTGGGCTTGACCAAGTCAGGCGCCCGCCAGGGGGCTGCGGAAAGCATTACCATTCATGACTCTTCTGCGATTCCAAGCCTGTACCGCTGGAAATGCCAAGCAAAGCCACATGATTTCCTCACTAGCAAACCTCATGCCTGGCGCAATCTTTTTAACCGCGCCATCGAAGGACTCAAACTCCAAGAGTTTGCTTACCGACCATACTCCCTCCGGAGAGGGGGGGCGACTTTTTTCTTCCAGAACCACGGCAGTTTCGACCGCCTTCTAGTCCAAGGACGGTGGGGAGCCGCGAAAACGGCTCGAATATACCTAAACGACGGACTAGCACAGCTATCCGAGATTTCGGTCCCTAATTCGCAGTTGCGGCCCTTCTTGTTGTTGTACCAAAAGCACCCAATCCTTGAGCCTGGGCCCCGGAAGGCGCCCAGACCAGGGGGACGTGGAAAGCCCCGAAAAACCA